TGTGCTTAATCAAATAAAATAGGATGCTTGCACATGTAGAATACATATTTCTGAAATTCATTAAACAACTATCTCCCCTCAAGGCAATTAATTGTTATGCACCAGAGGGCTTTAAGATGGACTATTTAGGAAAAAAAAAAAAAAAAAAAAGAGAGAAAGCAGAAAATAGGACAAGAGAAAAAGAGAGAAACAAAACTAACATGAAATGTGTATTCACAGTTTTAAAAGTCTTTGCAATTTACTTCAGCCCTGAGGTGGCATTAATTGACACATTAGCAAGTTATATACTGTGTTATGTGCTTATTTAGCCTAGAATTCAATAAAAACACCACCAGGGAAATCGCTGTAACACATTGCATGTATGGCATGTGTTTAAAGTAGGGAACACCTTACAAAAGCAGACACATTAATGATAAGGTGATGCAGTTAACTCACAGACTGCCCCTGCAACTCTTGTATTGAATTACAAACTGTCAGTTTGCAGAGGCATCTTTACAATATTTTAAGGCAATATCTTATAATTCCTAAAAATTAAAGAGAACTGAAATTTATTTAATGAAATCTGGTTTTCCATGTCAATATACTATAGTGTACACCGATGAAAAGAGTAATCGCTCATTTTTTGTTAACATTAAAACTGAGATGCAAATACCTGCAAACAGTATGGCTTCTGTAAGTGCAGTAATATGCATTTGAAAAAGTAGAGTGAAAGAGTTACATAGTTTATGTTGTAACAAGGGGGAAATAAAGTTTTCTTTCACAAATGAAGGGATAATTCGGCATTTCAGAATCTCAAAATTCAGTTCTAGCCAGTATTGTCCAATTTCTATTTAAGGAAAGTTTAGGAATTGTTTCATTATTTTTTATGCTTTCTTTGGAAAAAAAAATAAAAATAATAATAATAAAAAAAGGACTTACAAGTAACACTATAGCTATCAGAGCCAGATCTGCTTAACTTGAGTGTTAAATCAGATAACAAGCTTGCAGATTGTTGCAGTATGCTTCTGTTTTATTTATTAAATGTAACCTAATCTAGATAAATAAAACAGATAATGGGTATACCAAAAGGCACACATTCTGAACATTCTCAGTAGGTAGAGAATTGTTACAGAAGTGTTAACATTAGTGTGCATGAAGAATGAATAGCAATATCTGGGTGTGGAAGCACCAGAAAGCAAGCAGCTGGAGAGCAGTTACAAGAATAGCCTGTATTCATAGCACCTGGATTAGCAGGTCATCAAGGTCCTTGCACATACCCACCTACAGTTGAGCAGGGGACCCAGATGAGGAGCCAAAGGGCAATGAGTAAATCCCAGTGACGTCCCAAAGTGGGACATAATGGTGAAAATAATCACAAACAGGTTACAAAAAGGCATATCTAAAACCAAATGTGGGAAGAATTTTATCAGTTTAGATTTAACATCAATCCACTTTCCACTCCTAGGAGGTCTTGCACTGTTGTTACTACATTGCAACATTATTTCCTACAAACCATGCATATTTTATTCTTTAGCACCATAAAAGCAAACAATCGATTCCCTGTGTTTGCAGCACTTCATTCAAAAACATTCACCTTTTTTGTTATATTTGGGATAAAATTCAATTCAGTATTTTTGGATTACACTATTTGCTAACTCCTAGCACTATACGAGCATGTCCTCAGATAGTATACATTACTACAACTTCATTAAAATCAAGAGAGCTACAACAATTACACCAGTTATGGATCTGCTACATTAGTTTGTTGTTGGGCACAAGCAGAACCCCACTGGTTGCATTGCTGCTTCAGATCAGACATTTAAAAATAAAAAGATATAGTCAGGTGATCTGCAATTATTAAATGATTAATACCTTTTCTGAATAGCTTTATGATATGTGTGTGGCAAATATTATGCACGTTTTATAGCTGGGAAATTGACAACTAGAAGGCTGAGTGACTTGCCTGTGGTCAGTGTTTCGAGCTTTCAGCTATAGGCTGTCCCAATATCCATTTTAGCTACAAAACCTGTCTGTCTTTCAGTGAGGTTAATAAATGATAGTATGCTACTGAAGTAATGATCAACCTTTTTAAGCTGTCTTCTTGAGCATCTAAGCTTAACTGCAAATAAATTTTGTTCTGTAGTGTTAAAATTTGGCTTATGTGTTTCAAGCAAGGTCAGATATTATGTAGTACCACTGGTGATGAGACTGATTTGATTTCTAATACTGCTAAATTAAGTAGTGATTGTTCTACAGACAGCTGTTTCAAGATATCAAAAAAATACATCTCAAGGACGGATCTGCAGAGATAGCGGGGCCTGTAAAATTATCTTATGCTTAGGCCTGTGAATGCTGCCAACTTCTCTTTCATTAATGTATACAAAATGAATGAGTAAACATTTAATTTTAAAATAAAGCAACAGTATATCTCTCTTTATTCATCAAGGGAGAGGTGATTAGGTGTATCTTCTATCCAAAACCAGAATTATGATTATCAAATTCTATGTTTTATCATTGTTTAATCAGCTGGCATCATGCTGCAATGGCTTGTACTACATAAACTACACATCAGTGAAAGATGACCAATTCCCAGGTTAATTCATTCTTTTAAAAAAAGAGAGAGGCATAAACCACAACTCTGATTCTGTCTTTCTCTTTGTTTCATTGCAAGTAAGAAGAGTTCTGCTCTATGACTGAAGAGCATAGGACTGGGCAGGGATGAGGTCTTCAGTGTAATCAGTGACAACTAGGTGCCTACATCCTTCATCGGGGCTGTTTAGAGCAGCCTGTCAGCAACCTGAAGGTAACTTAAAAGCTCAAAACTAAACAAAATATCCCAGAAAAGAAATGTGGGTGAAAACTTTTCTCTGTATTAGTATTGACACAAGACAAAATGTGGGCAGATTTTTTCTGAACTACTTTGTGAGTAGCAGGGATTTGGATCATGGACATGTTGCAAGAGAAAGCTGAAATTGCACCTTGTAAGCTAATCAAGTTACTCCCTGACACCTGATTGTCAGCTTTCCTATAGCCTTTACTTCCAGCAAGCTTGTCCAAGTAGATTTGAAACAGCCATGCTGTTGGGAGTTTCCTCAGCATATGTGATTGCCTCTTGAACTCCCAGTAGGGCTGGGAGAGGGGGCTCAACACACAGAGCAGAAAGACAGTATGTATTCCTGCAGCCGCCTCTTCTGCTGGCCACTAGAGAAATGCAGTGGAGACATATCAGCTGTTCTATGCAAATGCACTCTGGGACAGTTTTTAGGGTGTATCTCCCTATTATATCAAGCGGCCCAGACTTCCACTGATTTAAATCTTTGATTTGTTGTCTATTCTGTTCCGCCCTGCCCTCTTCCATTCCTCCTGCTAGGAGTCAGATCCTAACCTCACCAATCGCACAGGGGTAATGTTGCACATGCAAATAATTATTTTTGTTTAATTCCAGTCTGCATGAACAAAAGAAAGAAAATAAGCAAAGCTCTTATAAAAATGTATCTATATTTAAAAAGGTGTATCTAATAGAATGACATTTTTTCTTCAGTGTTGCAAATTCACTCACAAAAATAGTCTAATCAATTTACCTGATTTTTAGAAAGGTGGATTTTTGTGGTTTTGGTGTGGTGTTGTCTTTTTTTTTTTTTTTTTTTTGAGAGGGAAGCATAGAAGACATCTACTGCCCCTCTGTAATTTCTGAGGTAGGGCAGATTTAAAAAAAAAAAAAAAAAAAGAAAAAAAAAAAAAGAAAAATCTACAGCCTGTCTTTATGTTAAAATTTTGATAAAGAGTTTAAAATTTGGCTAATAGTCAATATTGAGCTCTACATGCAGGTGGCTGAGTCAAAACTCTGGTAACAGGAAATTGGCTGTCCCAACAGGGCTACAGCCTAAACAGCCCCATCCATGTCTTTGAGTTTTATTAACAGACTTTTTATGGTGAATCTCTTACACTTTGCTCTGCCATCTGTGTATTCTTTTATGAGACAGAATCACAGACTGGTTTGGATTGGAAGGGACCTTAAAGATCATCTAGTTCCAACCCCCCTGCCACGGGCAGGAACACTTTCCCCCAGCCCAGGGTGCTCCCAGCCCCTTTCCCTTCCAGGGAGGGGGCAGCCACATCTTCTCTGGGCAACCTGTGCCAGTGGCTCACCACCCTCATTGTAAAGAATTTCCTCCTTATGTCTGATCTAGATCTACCGTCTTTTAATTTAAAGCTGTTGCTCCTTGTCATGTCACTATGGGCCTTGGTAAAAAGTCTTACAAGCCCCCTTTAAGGTCTCCCTGGAGCCTTCTCTTCTCCAGGCTGAACAACCCCAGCTCTCTCAGCCTGTCCTCACAGGGGAGGTGCTCCAACCCTTGACCATTTTTGTGGCCTCCTCTGGACCCACATCAACAGGTCCATGTCTTTCTTGTGCCAGGGACTCCAGAACTGAACACAACTCGACTGTGAACAGTTTCTGTCTTTTTCTGGATGTTTTCAGCCCTTTGCCTGCCATTCCTCTAAGGTAGCTTCAGCCACGCTGTGCTCAGCAAGGGGGCTCCAGCTACTGCAAGTACCGCCCCGTCCATCCTTCAGCCCGTGAGCTCCTGTGGTTGTTTAATCCCTTTCTCCTGCAGAAGAGGAAAAACTCTGCAAACCTCTTACTTCTGTGTGCACGTTATTGACGGTCTTTTAAGACTTCCCAGGGAAATGTCTCTTTCCTGCTTCCCTTCCAGGCACCCCTTCCCAGCCTTTTAGGCCACTGTGTTTGGCCTCAGGGTGCATTTACCGCACAACAGGGTCCCTCCACCAGCACGCTTCAGTCGCAAACCCTGCAACCACCGGAAATCGGTTATTTGCTTTTAGGACGATGAAGTAGAAAATGTGTCTTCTTTGTAGGGAATAACCTGTCACCAGCGACTAATAATTCATCAGCAGAACCAGGGCAACATTTTCCGCCCGGACAGAAACGAACCCGGGGGCCCCCACCCCGGCCGGCCCCTCAGAGCGGCGGGAGGCGGGGCCGGATTGCGTGGGGGAACGGAAAGCTCCGGCCCGGGTTTCCCGGCGTCCCGGTGCCATCCGGGGGGAAGAATTCAGGCGGCAGCAATCTCGGGAGGGATGAGGAAGGTGGTGGTGTGGCAACTGCTGCTTCAGGTTGTTCCCTTTTTCGCGCCCGGCGGGGCAGAACCCTGAGCGGTGCGTGGGTGCGGGCGCCGGGCCGTGTCCGGCCCACGGGCGGGGGGCGGCACTGCGCGCCGGGTGGGCCGCGGCGGGGCCCCCGCAGGGCGCCCGCTGTGGGAAGGCCGCCTGCGGCTGCCTGTCTGTCTGTCTGCTTGTCTGTCTGCCTGTCTGCTCGCCGTCTGCTCTCTGTGGGAGCCGCCTCACTCATCGCTTTTACGTTCTTAGCTGCATTGCTGGGGCGCGGTGTCAGTCCCGGGGGTCCCGGCCCTCCCGCAGAACTTGGGTTTGCCCTTAGACCAGCCCTGCGCAAACCGTCATGTAGTTTTGGTTTTGTTTTGCTTCTGAAAATGTTTTGAAAAATACGTGGAAAGTAAGAGAGAATGAATGGTTTTAGCTGTGAGGAGCCGTAATGCATGATACTGGTCTCTATATAACTTGCAGGTGAAGGTGACATTTCTGGTGTCATTTGTTCCCCTATCGCAGCAATCTGAACTTTTCCCAAGGGAAAGCTGGCGAGGAAATCCAACGTGCGGTGTGTGCGCCTCTGTGCTGGGATTCCTGTCTCTATTCCATGCTATGTGTTTCATAAATTGGCAGCCAGATTTTCACTTGTCTGGTTTGTATCTAATGTTACAAGAGACACGTTATGTTTCTCCACACATTTGTTATTATAATTAATTTTCTTGTAATTGTGTCGGGAAAGCTATATGTATTGACTTATCTCAAGGGTCTAAAGGTATACTAATAATACAGAAGTAGCCTTCAGTGGCAATGTTAGAAATATATTGAATTTTCAATTCTTAAGTGGTTTGTTTTGAATTACATTAATGAGTCATATGAAATCAACCTAGAATATTTATCTTGTATAGGGTCATCTATATGGGTGTAGGAATTTGAGAGATGCTTGTACAACCTGTTTTTGGAGACCTCTGGTGTTGGAGGCTCAGAGATCTCCCCATGCAACTTGCTTGTATGCTCATTAAGGAAAACTTTGCAACTGTAAGGACAAGGACATAGTTGAATCCTCTATGCTATAAATTGAAGCCATTTCTAGTCACAACTCTAAATGGCTTGGGGAACAGCTTATTTCCTTTTTCTTTAAAGCTGGCTCTTACGTTTGGTTTTGTTTTAGGGTTTTTTCTTTTTAATCAGGTCTCCCCTTTTTTAACTTAATGTTCTCAGTTACTTTAATCTTTTCCTGTATATTATGCATTTAACCTCTGATCATTCTGGATCCTCTTCTCTGAATGAATTCCAATTAGTTCATATGCTTGACTCAATTTGAAGGGCAGTATTCAAAATTGGATAGAGTACTTCAGCTGAAATCTAACCAGTATTTAGTAATATGGAAGATTTATGTGCTATCAAAGCTTTACTTCCGTTTACGCATCCTGGTATGTGTGGCATGCTGTTGGCATATTCAGCTTCTGTTCCAATTTAGACTCCAGGTCTTTTCTGCACAACTTTAACCTAGTATGCATAATATACAGGAAAAGGTTAAAGTTATACACTCATATTGATTTTTCTTGCCTAGATTGAAGACCTTGCATTTCTTCTTATTAGCATGCCCTTTCCATTTTGTTTTTCATGTATTTTAAAAAAAAAAAAAAAACAAACATCCTCTTATTGGTAAAGACTGGATTAGAAATCAGAATTTTCTTCCATCATGTTTTCATTTTGTTGCAGTTTGCTGCCATCTGTAATATTAATAAACATAATTTTGCTTAATCATTAAATAATACTAGACCTAGGAGGGTCCTCTGGGGACCTTCAGTGGCCTACATTACTTCATGATACTATTTTTCCATGTAACCTTGCAGACAAGATGAAAAGTAGTGTCAATTTAATATTAAATTGGACCTATGCCACAAACTAAAATCTTATATCACATAGGGAAGTACATTTTCTGACTCTAATTAGGACAAGCCTGTGTACTTCCAAGGCTGGCAGGAGACAATATTCCAAGCTTGTCTTTTGCTCTTTGATCTTTAGCAGCAGCATGTTTATTCCTTAGATGTGTAAGGCACAGAGCACCCTGAAATAGATGTAGAGAAGTCTGTCCTTAGTAAATAGGATTTGAAAATATATTTGGGCCACACAGTAATGCCCATCTTAGCTCCTTTCTCCTTCCTCTGCATCACCTAAGTTTATCTCATCTGAGCCTTTAGTCTTTCACAGGGCAAGAAGACCACAGCTCTGCTTTTGACACCTTGTACTACAGGTAGAATCTTTAAAAAATTTATAAGCATAATACAAAATCCCTTGTGTAATATGCCACAGCTGTCTCTTACTTTGGACTTTTTTTCTTTACATGTCACTATACTGTTTGAACATTTTCCTGATGTGTAAATTAGATCTGTATGACAGTATGTTAACTAAAATTCATTGTCTTTACATTTTTTAGGTTTTCCTTCCTTGCTAATGGAGGTTGCCTTGAGCTGTACAGAAACTTTCAGCATAGCAGAGAAGCTTTTCTCCTTTTCTCAGCCTACCTGTGTCTAACTTCATGGTAGCACAAAGTAGAAAGCATTTGGTGTCACACACTCTCTCTAAACTCCCAGCTTTTACATGATGTAACAACTTGGAGGAAAAGGGGGTCTCCTAAGAGTATTGTGTTTCTTGCATCTACAGGAAAATAGAATAGGAAAGGAAAAGTTGACTTTCTCAGTTTCTTCACAGCATTGATAAATCCTCTCCTGGACTATTCCAGTGAGATTAGGTAACTCCTCAGTGTAGTGACAGCTGCATCTAAGGCCTACATCCAAATGTTATTTAATAAGGCCCACAATTATCTAGGAGCATATCTGTTAGAGGTGGAATGATCCTACCAGATGACCAGGTTTCTTTCCATTAAGCTTAAGAAAAATCTTGATTCACCAGATATTTTCAGTCTTTTGTGCATTTGTCTTGAATCTCATTGTAACTTGCTTTAAATTGCAGTAGGCTTTTATTCTTTACAATGACTTTGAATAGACTTTTCAGACACTTCTGAATTTTTAAAAACTAGGGACATTAACTCTTTGTGAAGAGACAGGGCTTTTGGAGACACTGAATAAATGAATTTTTTATTCTACTGGTATGTAGAAAGAATATACAACTTGAGTTGTAGTGTCAAAATGCTACAAATCATAATAGAAATGTCTATATGATAAGTATGTAGAAATAATAAGTAAGTAGAAATAAGTATGTAGAAAACCCAGAATTTTCCTAGGTTTTTGTGGTTGTTGTTTTTTGTTGTTGTTTTTTTTTTTTTTTTAAAAAAAAAAAGAGAGAAAGGAGACTTTAAATACAGAATGTTGTGAGAGAACCCTTTTTAGTTCTTTTCCAGGTTCACAGGGGAAAGAACAATGAAAATAACTTTGTAGTAAAGAAAGGATCAGATGAGTGCAAGGAAAAGCTTTGTGAGAGGGTATTGCATTGGTGTAGGAGCCCTGCTGAGGTTGGAGGCTGTCTAGACATGAGTTGGCCTCACAGTGGAAGGCTTGGACTAAATGGTTGCCTGAGGTGCTTTCTAGCTTTTCCTATGAATATTTTAATAAGTTTTCATGCACTCAGGTACTTGTGAAGTTCATGTTTGTAAGTCATTATGCCTTAGCTGAGACACAGTAGCTTGCCCAAGTGTGTTCCATCTTTTGAAAATTCAAGGAAAATTAAAACAAATTATTTCAAGGTTTTGTTTTTAGACTAAAACATTCATTATGATGAATTACGAGAACAGCCTTTATGATGACTTCAGAGTATATGCTTGGATAGGTGTCACAACTCTGGTATCATTCTCCCTCTGTGGTGAGATAGTGAACATAGCCTGTATTCATCCTTGTTCTGCGGGTTATCCTCATTCTGGTTGCAGTTTATGGTTAGTGTGTTGCTCTTGCTGACTGATTCTGGTGTTTGCCATTTTGAGATAAAGCAAAAATAATTACACAACCGGATACACTTGATACATTGAAGAAATGTGAATAGTAACTTTAACAATTAATTGAAACAAAGTATTACTTCTCACTAACACTGCATTAATTTAATTTTTTTTTCTGAAGCACAAGCATCCATAGTTCTTCTCTTTTTTCTCTTCTTCATAAATATTATATCTGGAAGTTAGAATTACTGCTGTAGTGGAGAAATTTATTACAGTAAGTTCTTGTGTTTTTTTTTAAGAATATGCTTTATTTGTAAATAATGTAGCTGAACTGTATATTATTTGGAAGTATAGCTGTGTTTACAGAACAGATGACTTAAACTTGCTTGTTTCTTTTGGAAAGTAGTTTTTCCATATCATGTAACATAATGAGTGATTACTCTGTTATGAGGAAAGCATTTTAAGATGAGTTAAATCAGGAGTATTCTAATCTAGATGCTTTTGGTCTCATGGAGAAAACAAGAGATAAAATAATACTCTCTTTCTTATTTTAGGGACCTGTGGGATTTAAGAATATGTCTCCAAAGAAAATTTGCTGCTTCTACAGTCTTCCATCATAGTGTACAATTGATGATTTCACTTGAAATACCTATCTGAAGAAACTTAACAGTAGGAAGGTGTAATTGCTTTCTAAAAATGTTAAAAGTTCAGCACTATGTAGCAGCTGACAGCACACCCAAGAAAAAGCCATATATTTGTGACATTTGCCATAAACATTTTGAAACTCCATCAAAATTATCAAGGCATTATCTGATACACACTGGTCAAAAACCGTTTGAATGTCATGTATGCCATAAAACATTTAGGCAGCTAGTCCACCTGGAGAGGCATCAGTTAACCCATAACCTGCCTTTTAAGTGTATTGTTTGTTATAGAAACTTCAAAAACTTGATCACTTTCTTAAAGCATCAGCAGCTTCATAATGAAAATTATCAGAATAATACCAAGCAAGCAGAAAACTCTGTGAATTCTGAGCAAGAGAGGGTAACTTGTGGCACACTTCAATATTCTGTGTGCAGGAAACCTTTTAAAACTGGAGAGAGGTGTGCGAAGGCAGATAATCCACACGAGGCCAGGAGAAAGAAAACTCACACTTGTGATTCATGTAACAAGACATTTCCATCAAGATCTAAGCTAGAAAGACACTTCCTTATTCACACTGGCCAGAAACCTTTTAAGTGTTCCTCGTGTGGTAAATCTTTCAGACAGTCAACACACTTGAAAATCCATCAGCTCACACACACAGAAGAAAGGCCTTTTCGGTGCTGCTTTTGTCAGAAGGGGTTTAAAATAAAAAGTGAACTCATGAAGCATAAACAGCTCCATGCCAGAAATAAGACTTTCCCCAATATTGTGTACAAGGCAAGGACTCTTAAATGCCCCAGACCACACAACCTGTTGGAAGGAAAGAGGGATAGTTTTGAGAATGTTGACGCTTATGAGTCACAGGAGAATGACCCACATGAAGTTCACTCGATTTATATTGTACCCTTTCAGTGCCCAGCATGTGAGCAGTGTTTTGAAATGGAGCAGGTTCTAAATTTGCACAAATGTTATCTGAGAGATGGCAGAAGTTCAAATAATGGTACAACAGCATGCAGCCATGCAGTCAGCATGAAAAATAAGATCCTGATGAAGCTGAAGCATATTGGAGGAAAGGCAACAGATTTTTCTCTGACTGACAGAAAAAAAATAAAATCAGGTCACTTTAAAAGTCCTGACCTGGTTGCAGCTAGAGATCAGTGTTCTGATCAGCATGCTGCTACTAAACCTTTGAAGGATTGTCACAGCAAGCTTGACATGCACGAGGCACTCAGTAATCGGACGAAAAGAACATTTGCTGTGCCATTACTTTGGCAAGAGCACCCACAACCTCACGACTTTGGAATTAATTTAAAAGGTATGGTTACTCGTAAAAGCATGTTAAACATCGATGATTCACTGGATAATAGAGACACTTCTTGTGGTTCATCAGATGATGGTTTCTTTCATAATCCAGAAGTACTCCACTCTGCTTTTTCAGCTTCTGCTAAAAATGTACATAACGGACACAGAGTGTGTAAATGTGACAGATGTGAAAAAATCTTTCCGTCTTCATCCAAACTTCAAAGACATTATCTTATACACACGGGACAGAAGCCCTTTGGTTGTAATGTTTGTGGGAAGACATTTAGACAGTCAGCTCACTTAAAAAGACATCAGCTCACCCATACTGAAAAGAGACCCTATAAAAGCCCCATTTGCCAGGTAGAATTTGAAAACCTGAACAAACATCTCGGTCACCAGGAAGATCACATTGAATTTGAGTCTTCCCAGCCTGTGGGTTGTTTGGGTTATACTCAAACACCTTTGCAGGCATCTAGCTTTCAAGAATTCGTGATTCAGTCAAACCAAGCAGCTGAAATCAAAGTTGAAATCCAGTCAGAGGACTTTGTTCTTGACACCAGCAGTAGAAACACACAGCCGTGCTTGTGTAGTAAATTGTTGGAAACAGAGCAAAGCTGTTACAGCTATTGGCATGATTTTTCTGAAGGTACTGAAAAAAGTGAAGTTACTAACAAACTGTATCAGTGCAGTATCTGCTTTAAAACTTACATCACCTTCTAAGCTTGAAAGACATTACCTAATGCATGCTGGACAGAAGTCGTTTGAATGTTTAGTTTATGGTAAAAATTTCAGACAGGCCTCACATTTGAAAAGACATCACCTTATTCACTGTAAAGAGAGATTAAAGCTGAGTTCCACTGAGCAACAACCAGAGAATATATTGTTTTTATCAAAACTGGATAATGTCCTATGAAATTATATATTAAAATTTTTGGTTACATAAAAGACTTATGTTAGACCAAACAGTTGACTGAAGGAGATTATCTTCTGTTATGGAGATGACTTGGTGAAGAGTTAATTTACTGTCTTCAGAACTCTCTACTTGATGTAACTTGCGATGAATGTGAGAAGATGTTTAAAACAAAACAAAAAATATGCAAAAAAAAAAAAGCCATTTTGCATTTATTTTCCTAAATTAATTTATAAATACACATTCTTACAGCATTAATAGTGTTGCAGCAATCTGTGGTGATACATGAATCAGATATTTTAAAAGTTACACCTTTTCCCATATAGTATTTTATATTATGCTGTCCGGTGATAACTATCAGAAAAGTAAAGATAAACAGGTAATTTCCAAAATACAGGAAAAACGGTCCATTTACTTTCTTCTGGCTCCCTATATGTTGCAAACAAAGGACACATGCTGTATTTATTTCACACTTTCTAAAAAATAACTTATTTTTAGATAGAAGATACAAAAAAGAAGAAATTAGAAAAGAGAAAAAGTTTAATGATGAAAAATGTTAATGTGGCATTATAGTCAATTGAAAAAATTTAACTGCTTGGTAATGTGCTTGGAGATCTATGGATAAGGACTTAGATCTTTTCCCTTTTTATGATAAAATATAGGTAGACAATGCTTAAATAGCAGGATTTATAATCAATTAATCCACTTTACCATTTAATTTTCTCCACTTCTTTGTATATCCCTTGCCTCTTCTAGCTTTTTTTGGCCAATTTATACAATACTGAAGTATTTTTCTGCAAGAAAAGAGAAGAAATTATCATTAACATTACTAACGGGCTTACTATCTGTTCCAGTCTCCTTCTAGCGTATATGTTGCACCAGTAGAAGAATTGTTCTCTAAGATGCGATAATAACTTAGACAAGCGGTTTTGCAGGAAGTCATGTTCTCGTTACATTAAATAAAAGAGACCGAAAACGACTTTTAGTTCAAATTGAGTAATTGTGATTTTGTATTAATAGAATCTCTAGTTATACTTTTTGGTAAGTAGAAAGCATTGCCTATTGTGCCTGTGGGGCTGGCAAAAAGTGTAAGTGCAGTGGAGCTTTATTTATTACAAACAAGAAAGAAGTTTTTTGTTGTGTTTTGGTTTGGTTTGGTTTGGGTTTTTTTGTTGTTTTTTTTTTTTTTTTCCCTCTGAAAAAAACTACCTTTTAGGATATTTTCTTCGGTTATGCGACTTCTGAATAGTTGAAACCTGAAGTTTTTAATCCTATTTCTAAATTAACATTTCAGTAAGATACATGACATTATTTTCACTATTTAAATAGATCCATGTTTATTTAAGTAAAATGGTTTTGATATTTTTTTTTTTTTTAATTTTTGAAGTGATTTATCTAGGTTTTGCTGTGGCACGAGTTTTGTAGTATTTGGTATAAATGAAGTGTGAAAGGAATTTTATTTTCATACACGTTATTCTTTCCTATTTTCAGAGAGAATAAAACCAGGAAAGATACTCAGAAACAGTCTGTAGTTACTACAATTTTGTATGACAGACGAATTCAGTACATTAATAATGACTATAGTTATATATTGAAATTTTTTTCTCCCTATGTGAATTGTTTCATACTGAAAGACAGAATACTGTAGAAAATGTTTTGAAAGTGTGTTGTAGAGTTCTTTTAAAATACTTGCAATAAACTGTTTTATTTGTATTGTACTTTTATATACTTTATATGCAAACCAGAGTTTTCAATCTACATAACATTCAGTGTGCAGAAAAGTTTAAGACTTCATATCAAAATAACTAACTTTGCATGTTAGAACAGTAGGTTTTGTTTCACATGTTTTTTGTTATAAAATAGGAGTATGTTTAAAGATAAGATCTTTCTGAAGGAGACACAGTCATTTTAAAAAATGCTGTCTTTGAGAGTAATGTTTAGAGAACACTAAACTTGGTTTGTGTTGAAAATACCAATTTGAATAAAATGAGGGAAGATAATACAGAAATCTACTTTTCAGGGCTGAGTAGACGTATGTGGGAACTGTTAACTGTGATTAATTTGGAAACAAATATAATCTTTGGGCTCCATGGGATTTCAGAAGGGCAGTAAGGGCCCCTTTGTTTATCTGGCGCTCTACCCCTTTGTGAAAAGTTTTGTGTCAGTATAAATTCATGATTTTAAGGGGATTATAGCATAAACTAGCTAGAAAGGGGTAAAGCAGTTTCTAAGAGTCAGGAGAAAAAAAATCTAAAATCCCATCTCTTTTGAAGTTAACAGTAAAATTCTCCAAGTACCTTTGAGAATTTGAGCTAGAATGGTTTTCCCAGTGTTAACAATAACACTTGGTTTTGTTCATTAGTATAACAGGCATTTGCCATAACACTTCAAGGCAAGTTCAAGCCTTCAATCTTTGAAGTATCTTTGGTGGCAGAGACATTGCTTGTGGTTTTGTTAGAGTGAACTGATGGCTAATAGTAATAATCTCATAGTACTGACGTAGTGGATTTTTTTAAGACTATATGCAGAACAAAAGCATATTGTAAATGGGAAAACAGTAGGTCCTCCTGTGTTAGTTAACACTGAGCTCCCCCCAAGGAGAACTTCTCAAACTGTGTGGATTCAGCTTTGAGGTAGTTCTGTGTGGAACAAAAGAAGGGTCAAATGTTTTAAAAGAAGCAGAAAAAGGTAAAAGGGATATTTTTAAAAGTCAAAGTATGCAATACAAAATTCACTGGAACTGCAGTACTAACTGATCACATCGTCCATTTTCTGTCTAGGAAATATGACTATGGATAACTTTAAAATGTTTATGATTTTAATTGCTGTGCTATCCTTGCAATGTTTGCAGAAAGTCAAAACGTACCAAATATATATATGTATGTATTCCTAAATATATCTAGGGAAAAAATCAAAAAGGAAAAAAATCCATTATAAACCACAGAAAAACTGTTTAATCACTTCTGTAGCTGCTTCTCACTGAGTGTTTGGTTTCTCACTTCTCTGTGATCTGCTTTTACTATTGTACACAGAGCCAAAACGAAAAGTTAGTGGGGCAAATGGGAGACAGACACAAAAGAAACTTAATTGAAGTTAATGAGACCTTAGGCTTCAGATTGAGATGATGGATCTATTTAGTTTTCCTGGCTGCCTGCTAGTATAAACGTAAAACTCCAAAAGTCATAATTTTGCACCAGTAGCTCACTCGAGTAGCACTTAGATAAGTACAATTGGATGACTCTTAAATCAATAAAGACTATGGATTTAGTCCTTCTAATGGTCCCTTGTAATAATGTTGAAAATGCCTACATCTCCTAAATAACTGAAGGGGTCACGGTTCATGCTCCTAGCACAAGGTTTTGTGGATTTTTAAAGTGCAAGTTTTAACTTAATGGCCTAGTTTTATGGTCTGATGGCTATGGATGAGATGTGTCTGAGAGGCAGTTATCATAAGGAAAATTGAAATTATAGAAGTGACTTTTCTGTGCTCTCATATCCCTTATTTTCTCCAGGTTGAGCAAATTAATTGTAGTTCTTCATATAATAACTAGTTCTGCCAAGCAGCTTTTAAATAGCACCTTTTTTAGTATCAGTTAAAAAAGTGAATCTTCTAATCCATGAGAGTGAAGGATAAATCAGCCTTATTCCAACAAAATCACAAGTAGAATTGATCATTTCCTTGTTCAGAAACTGCTGTTCTAACATTAAAGTGTCATTATGTATGCTCTGAGTTATCACAAGTCTTTGAATATCGTTCTACTTCTGTACTCTGCCATTCCAGTTCCTGTCTGCTTCCAAGACATGCTAACGTGTGGCTTGTTTCTGCTATACACCTGACACAGTTTGGATATGTGGCTGAAATTTTTCCTCTTTGCTGGAATCCTTCCAGTGTCCCTGGTCCCAATTTGTATGGATCTATGAAACCCTGTACGTGACTGTGACTTATGGAGAGTCACAGGGCTGGTTGTTGCACGTGTGCTGCCGTGGCATGCAAAATGGTGCCTGAGGGTGTGAGCGCTGAAGATGTGATGAAGAAGTGAGAAGCTGACCTGCTGTGATGTAGACTGACCTGTCATTCTTCACTGAAAGTGGTCTGGGTATGTAGGGTAGTAAGAGCATATGGAAATGGTGGCTTTGCCTATGGCTGCTTCACGGGATCTGGCAGTGGAATGTGCCTTGCTGACATAATGAAAGAGGGGAATATAGAGAATTACGTGGCCACTCCTATATAAAAAAGTAAAATTATCTACCTAAGCTAAAGAAATCAGCCACGCATGGTGTCTCCCATTTGTACTGCTAATGCACTGCACTCCATTTCTATTGACATCAAGGAAAACACTATCTTCCTGGTACGCAAATTTGTATTTTACCTACGCATTTTTTTAAAGCACAGAAATTTTAATGCTTCATATGTGTTTGCAAAAGTAGTTTGGCGAGCTACAGAAACTCGGATGATTTCCTGAATTTCAACTTTATTTGGGTTCTAAGAGGATCCTGAAAATACAGCTGAGCAGAGAGATTCCTGTTAGTGACAATACCATCCTACTAAGCCGAGTAGAAATCTGCTAAGCCATCTAGACACCTCAATTGTATCAGTCAACTTGAGGATAATTTTTAAGATCAAAACAGATTATGATTTTTTCATGACATTGAAAGCAACCTTGGATTAGTATCTTGGCAACCTTGTTTGGTGTAGTGCACTTTATCTTGTATTTTATACTCTAGGTCTTAATAATAGCAGGTACTTGGGTAGTGAGAATAGCTTCCTAAGAATTCCCTCAGGCATCACACACTGTGTCGGATGCTAGTGCAATTATCAGAGGAAAAATGTCCATTTGCCAATAAGCTAAAACGATCTGTTGTGTAATACTTTAGTTTATATAACAGCAGAAGGATTTTTTGAGTAAAAGAAATCATTAAAAGTTAATAAATTATTTTTTGGTATTACACCCATGTAAATTTTGCTGCTTTCAGTAGGTATTCTCCTTTATTGCCATTTTATCCTCTCTTAAAATCCTGACATGCTAATGGAATGCCTATCAAAAATGTAGAAAATATGGAGAAAGGCAAGGATGAAAGCTTGGTGAGACAGGAGCTAGCTCTCAGCATCTTAGAATCATTCTCGTGATTAAGTTTTATGCTGCATATTAGATATGCTTCAGTTTTGTCTGCAGTCTGTGTTTTTTCTATATCGTGAGAAAGGATATGTGATTGAGAATCTACTTTTACAGTGATGCTGCAAATAGACCAAATTTTCCATGGCATTTCTCATGCTAGCACTAGCAGAAAGGAAATTATTTGCCTTAGAATCTCATTTCAGTGATGAAGGCCTCATGTTCCTCCATCAAACAGATTTATCTCACATTAATTATTTTGCCCCATAGAGATTTTATCATGTAAAAGCCTCTCAGAGGATTTCTAGCAAATATTTCTAGAGCTTTACTGGCCATTGGTCTCTTATCTTCATACTGCTGTTCTGCTCCAGTTGGTAGGAGCACAGCTAAAAGTCTCTGAAGAGAGTTAGGATAGCCCAGAGTCTGCTCTAACTTGAGCGGTTACCCAAACGTGTGCCCAGCAACTGAAAGATAAGAATGACATAGACTCTCGTATTTCCCCACCTCCTTCACTAGAGGCACTGCTTGCTATTCTGGGATATAAAAGCAGCTGGGTTGCTGAATTAACCATATTTTTCTCTAGTCATGAGCTCAGAATTTCCATTAAAGTTACTGTAAGTTTTGCACAAAAATCAAGGGCAGTACATTGGCCAGAACGTGTGCTAAATAAATATTTATACACAAATCAGAATGCTACTGACGGCTTCTTTACACTTTAAAATTCTAAATATTTTAAGAAGCATCTGTTACTAAACTGAGGCATCATTTTTGAAAATACCCATATTTACTGAGTGGAAGTACACATATTTACTGAGTGAGTACCCATATTTAATGAGATGAACACAGTGACAAACTCTTGGACTAGAAGAATGCAGATA